CAAAATGCAAGTTGTAGAGTTCTGTTAAAAATATGATCAAATATCCAACTCCAAGAGAGAACAGAGGGTTTACCAAAATGTCTGAAACTTTCAGTTTTCTTTTACTCATTTAACGCTCTTAAAAAGTAAAGTTGTAGCTGATTATTAGAGGCAAGACACAATCAAGAAAAACAGCTTTTATTTAACAGCTGTGTTTTTAAGACTAAATTTATAGACCTGTGTAAGCAAAAGCCTTCTAGTTTGACCTGTTTTTAAAGGTTTTGACTTATTTCATTTAACTTTAAGAAAAACTTGTGTCCTTTTTGCAAGCAGGTTCTGAATAAGATTCACTTGTTTCTAAAAATATCAAGGTATTTGCTAATAATTTCCTAATTGGTTCCCTAAACTGTGTCCAAAAATGACATCAGATAAATTGTTTTGTTCCTTCTTTTTACTTTAAGTTTGTGTTCTACAATAAAATATTACATTGAGCTAATACATGTGTTTTAATGAAAACCAGAAGTTATAATATTTAGCTGAGATAAAATGAAGCTGTTTTAATTATGTATTAAAAATAAGGCTTTATATGTTCATTTGTTTTGCCCTCTATTAGATTCCTGCGTTCATTTTTTTAAAATAAATTTTATTTTCTGGAGCTACATTAGGGGAACTAGTTAAATTAAGGTTCTTTGGTGCTGATGTAAATGTAATGTAATGCAATAATGGGCTTGTTAAATGGACCTTTGGGGATGGGAATCTTTAACAAGAGAGCCAGAGCACGTCCTCCCGGTCAGGGTTATTTAAATTGTTAATAGCTGTTTAAACAGGCGAGGAATGTTTTATAACGAGCGACAAGTCAGGGACATTAACGGTAAATGAGTTCTCCTTTTGGAATTGTTTTATTACTTGTACATTTTTTATTTTGAATCAAAAGTTGTAAATTCTGCATTTGTTAGGATCCTGCAAATAAAACAATCCTGTTGCATGAATCTGCAAGTACTAGAATGCCTGGAACTTCCTTATTTTAAAACTTTTCGTTTATATATGTAATAAATGATGGAAATGAAATGCACTGAACAAAACCAGATTTTTGCTGTAGGAACCTTTCGTTACTTCAGTTTGTCTAATCTGACTTTTTTTTTTTTTTTTTCACATTTTTTTATCAGTGTGCTGAAAAATGAAAGCTCATACAAAACATTGGTCTAAGACGTATAGAAGATTAATTGAAAAGTACACAAATACTGAATATTCAGAACAAGTGGAGGATACATCATCATCAATAAATGCCATCAATTCACCTGAGACCTCGGGAAAGTTGGAATAACTCTTAAAAGAATGATGAGAAAATTTGGAGGGCTTTGGAAAGACCATACATACAAGAAATATGTTTATCTTAATCAAAAATATATTAATTCAGTCAACCTTTATTTAGACAGGTTAATTCCACTGAGCCTCAGGGACTCATTTATAAGAGAGACCTGATTTTAACAGAGTGATGACAACACAATATAATATAATAATATAATATAATTTAGACAGCCTCTTAAATGGGATGTTCTGGGGATTTGAATGATTTTTGGACCTCTTGTCACCATTTATGAAGTTTAATAAAGCACATTTGAGCAAATTCTGTCTTTTAAGTGTTTAGTGTCTTGTGTTTTAGGAAGCAGCACCTTATTATTATTTCTCAAGCGAATATGCAACCTCATTTTGAGCAACACTGGACTGTATGTTTCGGACTATAAGGCGCACTGGATTATAAGGCGCAATATCAATGAACGGGTCTGTTTTCGTACACAAGGTGCACCGGATTATAAGGCTCATTAAGCAAAACTAGAACATTTTGACAAATCTTTGGGTGCCGTGTACCACATAAAATCGTTTCGAGGTCAGTAAGGACAACCAGAATTCATACATAAGGTGCACTGTTGATTTTTAAGAGAAGTAAAAGATTTTAAATGCACCTTTATAGTCCGAAAAATACTGTTGAAATGTCCTGTCTAAAGAATTCATTGCAACATAAAACAGTCAAGTGTAAGACACCCCCCCCCCCCCACACACACACACACATAATTTTGCCCTTACAAAACAAAGCTACGTGCAAATTGTGTGTGATGATTGTTTGGTTTTTCACCCATGACCTCTTCCATCTTTCTGCACACTGTAAACCTTTCCAATAATGCGCTGGCCATAAAAAAGTGCTTGTGCTTGTCACGCTCGTTTATTAGAAATAAAAGAAGCTCCAGTACTGACAGAGATGGATAGATGTGGGTATTTGTCACTTTAACGGAAGATTTCCGCTTCAACTCCCTCCCCATTTATTCCTTGTTCTTTGCCAATCAGTACGGGGGGAGGGTGTGTATTTTTATGATTATTAATACCTGCACTCAGTCTTTTAATCTGCCCTATTTGTCACATGTGACTGTCTGACTGCACTGTTTAATCTGGGTATCCTTCAATCTGTCTCGTTCCAGATTAGAAATTAATGAAGGCAGGAAGAGACACGTTGGAGTCGGTTACAGTGTAGGGGTGTAAAGGACGGGATGAACTGGAAACCAGTGTTCATTTGACAGTGCTGTTTCCCTGATCCCTTTTCTCCGTCTCTCGTTCTCCATCGTTTTGTTCCTCTTTCTCCCTGCTCTTGTTTAGATGCCAGATGTAGCCCATTTTTACACCCCACCCCCCAGCCCTGAACAAGCGCTCAGCACGTGGGCCCTTTGGTGTTCGGCACCTGTGTAGTGTAATACAGTCAGCAACTGTGTTGGTTATTCTGAATTTGTTTGGTGCGCTTGAAAGCCTGTCTTTGATCCATGCAAACATTCTTCCATTTTCTCCCCCGATTCATCGTCTGCCTCTCTAATTTTTCACCACTATTGTCACAGCAGTGTTGTTACTTTTTTGGGTTAGTTGTGGACAGGGCAACTTATTTAGTTAAATCTTTTTATTTACTTTTTTTCCCACTACTAACCTAAGAGACAGAAAAATGATGACCACTGCCAATTTTGGCACGTCTTGGCAGAGATATTTAAATATTGTAATCTATAATGTTCGCTGAGTATTTCAGGATAAATATATACCTCTAAAGACAAAAAATATCCTTTAGCCATTCGTAAGAGCTAAATATAATTATGCTTTGACAAAATATTGCAAGACAAGTGTTCTACAAACTACAAAATCTGGATATTTTCCATTTAGTTCTTATGGCGCTTTCAATAGCTGCCCACTGCACCACCTGGTGGTGGATGGGTTAAATGCAGAGACTAATTTCGCCATTGTATGGAAACATACAGTGCTGACATTGTGATGACATTATTATTATTATTATTATTATACTGAGAATATTAAAATGCAACAAGTCACGACTAATAAATTATTACTTATCGAAAATTTTTAGGATCTTCTTTTGTGTGAGATATTACCAAAATCAGGAAGCTCTTGACAATGATAAAACTTTGCCTTCGCAGTTTTTACTTTTATGTACAATTAGAATTAGCAGCAGCGTTCGTACTTGTTTATTTAGCTTCTTTTTCGGGCTTTCAAGTGAAGAATTAAAAATCCTTCTTGCATACAAAACTCAATTACCATCACATAACTGATATATATATATATATTTTTTTTTCTTTCAACCTGTGGCATTTCTCATCAGTCGTGCAGTTTCTTAAATTAGAATTAAAAAAACGACTTAGATCAGGGATCTGCAACCTGCGGCTCTGGAGCCACAAGTGGCTCTTTGGTCGATCTGCAGCGGCTCTTTCAAACGTTGATCAAAACTAACATAAAACTGAATGTTATTGATTGTTATACTAAAATAAAAAAAAAGGTAGTTTTAACAGTATTCTTGTCTTTTTTTGTTGTTGTTGTTGCAAATATGTGAATAGTAGAACAATACAAAGAGTAAAGCATATTCACTTTATGCTTTATCTCTTCAAAGTAGGATACTTAATTTTTTCACAATAAAAAATAAAATCAAAGGCCTGCAGTTCATTGTTTAAAATTTTACAAAATTGTTTAAATCTATATTTTACTTTTCTTTCTTTACAACAATCCGGTCTTTTCTTTTGTCTTAAGATGTACTAATATCAAAAGTTAAAAACCATTTGATATTTTTAGTTTTATAAAGTCATCCCTACTGGCCAGAAAAGCCCCCTCCAACAAACTTAAAGTGGTCCATGGGCCACCAGTTGATGATCACAGTTGTACCAGACTGTTGTGGCTCCAGACACACTTATACACACTTAAATACTTAAATAATACTACTGGTACTTAAACTTTTAACTTTTAACTTGAATAGTACACAACATTATTTTACATTATTATTGTTTAGCATATATCTTAGATTCTTACTTTTTTAATATACTTTATATTTTTGCTATTTTTGAGTGTAACTGGGACCTTGTGTACACAATTTCATTCCACCTCATGTACCACATATGATGCAAATGACAATAAAGAACTTTTAACCTTGAACTTAGTTTAGTGAACAAAGTGGCATAAATGGCTCTTTTGATCGTAAAAGTTGCAGACCCTTGCTCTAGATGGACCAGTTCTCTGTACTGGTTTGAGAAGAAAAAGTTCAAGCATAACATTTACCATACCATACCACTTTATTTATAAAGCACTTAAAACCGCTACAAAGCCAACCAAAGTGCTGTAGTGGTTTTACAGACCAACACAAATACGCCTGACATGAAGCAGCAATGCACACTCACACAAACATCAAATGTCTGTTTAGAGTCACCATTAGGATGTTTTTAGATTGTGATGGAATCAAGGCGTTATAAATAAATTGACAAAAAGCTAAATTTGTCACGGGTTTAGCTTAGCCAGCTCTATACGAATCTACAATTTGCCTTGTAAGTTTCAATCAATGTCCTTATAAATCCTTTTGTTCTTCAGACTTTGGATTCCAACTTTAGGTTTATAAGCTAAACCTTTTGTCATCTGCATATTATTAAAGTTTTTTTTTTCTTTTTGATAAAAGTTGGACACACAGATTTGTGACGCTGCGTTTTCCTTTTCAGAACAAGTGGGACAGGAGATTCTCTCCAACCTGCACACCGACCGTGAGAAGATACAGAGAGCCAGGGAAAGGGTGAGTGCACGCCTGCCACCTGCACATACTTGAACCTCCGTCCTAACAAGTGTATGCAAAACCGTAAGTCGTGACAGCTGCTTAACAGCACCACCTTTGTTTACTTGACAAGCTTAAAAAAAAACAGTCTTAGGCATGTACTGTATGTGCACAAACTACGTCAGCAAAATTGTGTTGGCAAAGCAACGTGTTTCTTCCGTTTTCCATTCTTTGCCAAACGTCGCTGCTTCTACTCGTCAAACAGGAATGCTTTTATTTTGAATTATTAGGGTTAGGTCAATTTTCCTTTCCTAATCCGTTTGCTTTTTCCTTCCTGTTGTCCTTCCTCTTCAGTCATCTTTTTACCTTTCAGCACTCCTCTCCAGTTTCACCCCTTCCTTCTGACTTTTCCTCAGAGCCCCCATCATTCCTTAGTTCAGCCTCTCCTAACATGGAGCCCACTAAACAGACAGGTAGAATAGACCAAATTATTGTAGACGCAGCTCCGTCAGCCCACTCAATGCAGAATGCTTAAAGATCATATGGCAGAGAAAAAACATTAAGTATGGGTCACAGTGTCCACTCTGTCTTTATTTTTTCTTTCTCCCACTCCGTCCTTTCCATGAGTTTTACTTAACCTTCCCACCACATTCAAAATGCAAACACACACACACAGAGAGACTAAGAGGTTTTTGTAGAGAAAACATTAAGTAAAAATATAGTAAAATATGCAGGATGGAAGGTTTAAATTTAATAGAATGTAATTGATTTATAGTTTTTGTATAAATGAATGTATTACTCTTTAAAAAAATCATGCTAATTTACACAGGCGAACACACAAAGTCATGGCCAGCTGGAATGAGGTTTATTGTTTTTGCTTTTACGATAAAATAATAGTTGATAAAACGATGGGGTCACAACGGTTTTCTCTTTAACTCGGAACGACTTCTAAGTTTTTATAAATGTTGCAAAATGTTTTAATAATTGACCAAATAGCTGTTTATTTGTCAACTTTCTATTTTTTTTTTCATTTAAATTGCAGGTGTAGCTGTTTATTATTATTTTGAATTATTTAGAATTATTTGCATTATGCGAATTGTAATTAAACCAATCAACCTTTATTTATGACACTTTTCATACAGCAGTGTGTCACACAAAGTGCTTCACAGTAAAACACAAACAAAAGAAAAGCCAGAAACGAGCTAACAAGAACTATGCACACAATCACTGAAAAGAGCAGTAAGTTGTAAAAAGATTAAACAAAGGGGGCTGTAACTGAAGGAACTGAGGAAATGCACTTATGTTATGAATAAACACAAGGTGGGTGTAAAAAATAAATAAATATACATCCATAAGTCACAAAAACATAGATTTTAAAATCTGAAAATTATTAAAACCAAGATGCTAACATAGAGCAAAACATTAAAGAGAGGTTAGAGTTTAGAAACATCATTTGAAATATTACAAGAGTGTGAGAAGGGTTTTAAACACCTATATATATATTACTAAAATAAACTACTACTTACTACTTGTACTACTATTCCTACTTCGCGGTTTTTCACTTATCGCAAGGCTTCAGGGTACAGATCCCCCACGATAAACGACAGACTACTGTACACACCACAAGCTGTCACTTGAGTGTTGAGGTTATTGATTCTTCCATGTGGGTGCAAAATAATACTGTAATTCATTGAAAACATACGAGCAACTTACTTTTCCTTCAGTATCTTTAAGCTTACGCTTCAGTTTCAGACAAACTCTCAAAACAGGATGTTGTTTATTTCGCAGTTTTCATTCTCAAGTTTCAGCTGTGTTTCCTAACCCACTGCTTCTTGCTAGACCGTAGGTCCGTCGCATTTTTTTTATGCTTCTGCACACTGACTATTTATTGTTTTGGTTACATAATTCGTATGCATTTTTACTCCTGGAAGTCAGCGTGACGTTTGGAGATTGTTCTATTTTTGAGCTACGAGAAAAACACAAGTCAGGCGAAACACCTTCTTCGTATTTATTGATTTGTTTTATTTTTTATTTAGGCAGCCATAGTTAATTTTAGACACTCGAATGAACACAAATTTTCGTTCCGTTTCAGGTTAAGGATGAAGGCATAAGAAATGGGATAGCGTGTCTGTGGTGGTGGGGATTCAAAGAGAGATGTGTATTTTGGGAGAACATGTGAAGTACCAGCGGGGACAGATCTATGGGTTGAGGCAGACATCAGGCAAACTGCTGGACTTGTTGTCTTTGCCAGAGGGCCCAAACCCAAGGTCCCCCATCTACCCTGTACTGCATGTATCCTTGGCTCTGGCAACTTGCATCGCATCAGCCCAGGCTGCCAGAGGGTAGGATGTAAAGATGGGAAGAAGGAAGGAATCGAAGGAGTGGTGGGGCTGAGTTAAATGATTTAGACCAAATGAAAAGGTGTCACTGGAACATTTTAAAGGTTTTTAGAAAGAAAATAGAACGCAGCTTGATAAATTTATGAAAACATTCAGTGTGAGAATGTTTTTATTGAAAGGGTCATTATCTTAGAAAAGGATAAAGAGAAATGACTCCCTGCGGGGTGGATAAAATAATCAACTCCCCCCATCATCCTCTGGAAACTGTGACAACATGTAGGTGTTAGTGGCTGCTCACTCAGTGCAGTGTCAGCTTTTTTCCTCCCTTTCACACGTTGCTGGCAACGTCTCTGCCGAATCATTTTAGTGTTAAAAAGTCCCTAAATCTGTTAATAGAGCGAAATGAAAATATTTCTGTGACCCCCGAGGAAGAAAAGGCAGCAAGATAGAGAAAAATAAGAGAAGGTAGAGCAAGAAAAGGGAAAAATCCAAGGCAATTAGTCCTGAATCACCATGATCATTATTTCAAGGGTGCTTTCAAGGACACCTTGTGCTTGCTAGGTACGTCAAAAGAAAAGGCAGCTCTTTTTATAATTATTATTGTTGTTTTATTATTCTGATGTTGGCTCTGCAGCAAGATGGGCAGAAGGCCACTCAGCGACTCTTCTAGACTACTTGATTAAATATAGTCGTTTTCTGTTTAAAATCGCTCTTATTGGTAACAGTTTAAAGGCTTGGAAATAAAAAAATAAAAAGGCCAAAGTGTATTGTACACACAGTCAAGCTATTTCTGTTTTGAATAAATTGCCTCTAAAAGTGTGCACAGTGGGGGGGGGGGGGTGTTGTAGAGGGTTGTTTCTAGATGAGTAAACATCCAACTTAAAGGTAAAAAAGCAAACTGAAATCCTAGGATCTCCTCTCTGATGCTCTTATTACCAGGCTGAAGTGACTCAAATTTGACTTTTGTTGATTTGACTCACATGATTTTTTTTTTTCAGAGATGTGTAGACACAAAAATCCAATTATCAACTTTGATGTTTGAATCAATTTTGTGTGTGTGTTTTTTTTTTCTGGCAACACATGATTCACAACCATGCAACACGAATGAAGGCCCTTATATTGAATTTTGTGCAGTTCTGTTGCCTACAAAAGTGTGCACCAACAAGGTAATAGAAACAATACACAGCTACGTCTCTCAGACTAGCTGTCAGAAAAGTCACATTTATTTATTAGTAACCTGATATTTAAAATATATATATACAGTAGTCCCTCGCTACTTCGTGTTTCAACTTTTGTGGACTCGCTCTTACATGGTTTTTCAAAGTAAGATTGGACATGACACACAATTGGCTGATTGATGGATGAGCTGGAAGATTGGTATGGATTTTTTAATTTAAAATAAATTGTTTTAAATTGTTTTAGCACATGCTGCACCTTTGGGCAGCCCACATATGCAGGGAGGAGCTACCCCCTGCATCCTGTCATGATCTCCGCTCTGCAGCGAAGAAGTGGGCGTGGCCGAGAGCGCTGGCAGTTAGCAGAGATCATAGGAGTAGGTCAGATCATAGGTAGGATATCATGACATGCTGTGCTCTTTTAGAGCGTTTAGAGTTTAGAAACATTGCTTAGAATATTGCAAGAGTGTGGGAAGGGTTTAAAATGTCTTATACATATATAAGTACTAAAATAAACTTACTTACCAATTGCACTACAATTCCTACTTTGTGGTTTTTCCCACTTATCGCAGGGGATCCGTACCCTGAAGCCCCACAATAAGTGAAAAACCACAAAGTAAGAGTAGTAGTAGTAGTTTATTTTAGTAATTTTATATTATATGTTTAAATATATATAAAGGCATTTTAAACTCTTTCCACAGTCTTTCAATATTCTAAACAATGTTTCTAAATTTTAAATGCTCTAAAAGAGCACAGAAAGTCATGATTTCAGCTCTCTG